CACAATATCATTATCACACTTAAAAAACAATTCCTACATATCAAATAACCAGTCAGTTTTGCACATTTCTGCCGCTGTTTTACTTTTTCTTTGTTTCTTCAAATTAGGATCCAAGTAAAGCCCAATCATTTCAAGGGATACTGCCTCCTCAATTTCTTTTAATGTAAAGATCTGCCTCCATCTCTTTTTTCCCCTTGTAATTCACTTATTGAAGAAGCCAGTGTGGGGTCATGCTGGACATGGCTCCTCCAACGCCCACAGTCCAAAAGGAATGTGTATGGCTTTGGAAATGGATTGCAACTCTCTCCTTACCTCCTTTTGGGAGCGGCTTCTGGTCTTGTGTGACCGCTTCTTGACCTTTTTATCTCTTTGTATGTATACACTGAGGTAATGTAGTTTAGAGTCACGCAGAAAACACATGCCCCCTTTGTCTGGGGTCCCTTAAAAAAGTGTCGGGCTCAAGGAGGTGCGGCTGTGCTTCCCCGTTGGGCGCAGGCAGTGCTCCCTGTAATGTAATGAAGGCTTTGTCTGCTCCACGCAGTCCTCCTGGTGGTTTTTGTCCACTTATCCTTTTTATCCAGACCAGCAGCCGAGATCGTGAGCCCCGGGTTCTACCTCCTGCATTACAACCAGGTCGTTTGTCTTATAAAGTTTCCTTCAGTCTAGATTTTGCGGATTGCCTCCCCCTGCAATTGGCAAAATAAATAAACTTCATTTTTTAAAGGTTCTAGATTTACAGAAAAACTTTGAGGAAAGTACAGAGGGTTCCCATATAGCCCACTCAGTTTCTCTCATTAACATCTTATATTAATACAGTACATTTGTTACAATAATGGAACAATATTGATACATCACTTAACCAAAGTCCATACTTTATTTAGATTTTCTTTTCTGAACCAGGATCCCATCCTGGACATCACATTACATGTAGCAGTCATGAAGCCTTAGGGTCCTCTTTGTTAGGACAGTTTCTCAGACTTTCCTTGTGTTTGATGACCTTCCCAGTTTTGAGACACACTGCTCAGGTAGTCTGTAGGTTGTCCTTCTGCTGAGATGTGGTCAATGCTTTGCTCATGATTAGACGGGCATTATGTCATCTTGGGAGGAAGATCACAGCCAGTGAGCATCATACTCATCATACCCTACTATCAAGGGTACATACTATCAGCATGACTTATCCCCTATTGATGTTGACATTGGTCACCTGGCTAAAGCAATATTTGTCAGGTTTCTCCACAAAGTTACAAATTCCCCCCACCCCCTTCCCCAACCCACATACCTCCTTACACACTGTCCTCTTTGGAAGGAAGTCACCATTCTCAATCCACACTTATGGGGTGGGCAGTTATGGTCCGCCTCCTTGAGGGCAGGGTACATTATTTCAAATTCTGCATGGAAGAATTCTCGCCAATTTATGTACTTATTCATAGTCTCTATCACTATGAACCTGCAGATATTTTAGACTTGGGTTATAATCCAATACTGCTTCATTTTTTTTGCTCAAATAGTTTCAGCTCTGGCCACTGGGAACTCTCTCAGTTGGCTCCTGTGTCCCTGTCCCTTTGACATGCTTCCGCCAATATGATTTTTCCTTTTCATCAAAAATAATTTTGGGGCTATACTTCCTTTCAGGTATCACTAGGTGCTTCAGGCTCCTCATGTGTCCACCGTGTATATATCCCGCCCTAGTGCTTGAACCAGCCATTTCTCCAAGGAATCTTGGTTCCTTTTACTGGAAAATGGTATTAGAAATCAAAATCTGGGCACTAGGTGTGCTTATTGCTACTCGGGAAACGTTGCTTTATGTAATCTCAGGTCACAGAGCAAATAAATATATATGCACAGCAAGCCTTGTGTACGCAGTGCACCTATCTATAAATATTTTTATAGGTTGCCATCTGTATGTACCTAAATTGTTAAACACAAATTCATACTGATGTCTTCAGTTCAGTCCACATGGATTGTTCTAGCTTCTTCCTGATATTTGAAGATGTTCTTTTGTATTTGTTATAAAATGGTAGTCAGATCCAGATTCAAATTCAATTTTTTAGGATTAACATTTTATAAGATGTGATGTATTCTTCCTCCATGAGGTGTAAAATATCTGGTTTTCTGTTAGTAATGTTAGCAGCCTTTAGTGATCAATCTCTAGGATCTAGCAATTCTTTAAAGTTTTTAAAATGGTAATTTTCTATGGCTTTGTCTCTCTTCTTTAACTGGAATACTCTGTATCATCGATTCTCAACCAACCGGTGTGCCACAAGAATTTTTAAAACATGCAATACCTGACTATTTAGTCAGGGGCACTGACCTCTTTTCTCTTAGACTGTCATATAAAAAAAAATGACAACCGCCAATGCAATAGCCATCCAGTGTAAATGAATCAAAATTATTCCTATTTTTTTGTCAGATCAGCAAATAATATATTTTTTGGTGTGCGGCAGAATTTTAATAATTTATGTATGCCATGAGATAAAAAAGGTTGAAAATTGCGGCTCTATACAAGAAATTTCCCCTCATTAACTATTTGGTAGCCCTGAGGTAGAGCCTACATAAAAAAAGACAGGATAAATGCTTGATTCTTTTCATTATTTTTAAAATAATGAATTCATTCCCTAGCATCCTCTGAGACTGACCAGAGTTATTTTTGGTGTTGAGTACCATTATGAACACAGAGTAGCTCTGGAGGCACATGGCATTGCTCAGCAATCTACTCCAGCTTTCATCCTGGGCACTCTGCCTCAGCCGACAGAATGGGGAAGCGGGGCGGCATGCAGGCTGGGCGCCCCTGGCACAGGCAGAGAGCAGTTTGGAAAGGGAGGTGAGGTAGGGGAGAGAAAATGGGTGTTCATTCATCCTGAAAGAGCTCTGGTCTTCAGAGTCATTAACTCTTGGGTAACCGTTGCCTTGCTTTCAGAGTTGTACATGTTGCCTTAGAAATAGTGGAACCATCTTTAAAAGTCTCCGTAGGCAACCAGGAAAGACATATACAACAGTCTGAAGCTCTAGAAAGGGCAAGTTTGACTCTAAAATCCTTCAAGGAAGCCAGTCTAGGAGAGAAACCAAGTCACTTTTGGAATGTTAGGGGTAAGGGTTAGGGCACTGATTTTCAACCCTTGCTGCTTACAAGAGTCACCTGAAATACTTAAAAACCACCTGAGCTTCTGTGGCTCAGTGGATTGAGTGCCAGCCTGTGAACCAAAAGGTCACCAGTTCAATTCCTAGTCAGGGTTGCGGGCCAGGCCCCCAGTTGGGGCTTTGAAAGACCCAGCCCGCTGATATATCTCTCACACACACTGATGTTCCTCTCCCTCTTTCGCCCTCCCTTCCCCTCTCTCTAAAAATAACTAAAACAACAACAAAAACAAACAAACAAAAAAAAAAACAAAACACCTAAGCTTCAGTACAGCCACCAGAGGTTCTGATTCAGTTGGTTTGGGGTGGAACCCTGCAACTGGCAGTTTTTGTGTGCTTTTTGCAAGGTGATTCTAATGTTTAACCAGGGCCATTGCCAAGACCCCTAGAACTCTGATGGGGTAGTGAGCTGTGTCGGAATACAGTCTCATCAGTTTGATCCAGTTGTCTGATGTTAGCAGACGCCATCTCTGCCCTCCTATGTAAGACTATAAGCTAGGGAAGCTAATGCCAGTGGCGTCTCCCCCTCCCCGGGATGCTGAGGCCTGATGACTGTGGCTGACTGCCAACCAACAGGCCTTTCACATAAGACAGCGCTCTGCCCACCCTCAGCGCCAAGGGCGGCTGCACTTACTCGGTGCTGGCCCGGTCCTAAATGCTTTAAACCTCTCAACATTCCTCATGGGTTGGTACCATCTTTGTTTAACACATGAGGACTGGGGATCTGACAGAGTTAAATGATGCTAAGGTCACAGGCCTGTGTCTGGGTGGATTCTTGGGCTCTTCCCAATCCTGTGTTGTCACTTACAGGCTTTGACTTGAAGCCCAAGCCCTCATCCTTTCCTTTGTGAATAAATATTGACTCTTGGTGCAGAGTGAACCTGCAGAGAATGCAAGGCCTCAGAAAAGGTGGGGAAGGCTTGGCCTGGGGCGAGAGGTCCTGAATCCTTGTTCCTCAACATCAGACCCTGAGTAGCCCCCTGCCCCAGCGGTGAGCTATTCCGCACCTTCTTCACGGCTCAGCGGTCTGAGAATACGTGAGGGTAAAGCCCAGAAAGCCTTAGTCACTTCTGCCTCTAAACCATCCTCGCTTTCCTCCCTGTGCCCACAGGATTTCACCCACAGCTCTTTCCTCACCCTTCCTCGGATAATTTGATCGATCCTAGCTATCCTATCTACCCTAACCACTGCCTATCGCCACCCCCAATTCTTGACTAGCACTACAGTTATAAACTAGCCCCTCCTATATCCCCATTTCAAAAAAGGCCACCCCCATCCACCCACACCCGAAGCTCTGACCTCATCCAACACAGTTATCCCCCAACATTCCATCAGCCACAGAGTCCCTCCCCTCAATTCCATCACTCAGGATACTTGCTACACCCATCACAACTCTCCATCCCCACCGCCGAGGAGAGGCCACGTCTCTGAAGCCAATGCTGTCTCATTTCCTTTTCAAACCCCCTCCAGGCCAACGCTCCCTGCGCTCCTCGGCTCCCAGGGTTCGTCCCTAATTAGATCCTGCTCAGGCTACAACCCCTTCCGAGCGCCCCAATCTCCAGCCCCGCTCGGGAAGTCCTACAGGCGCTGGATTGTGATGTAGGCAGAATTTACCCTCCACCCTCCGCAGTCCGGACGCCCGCCGGCCGAGGCCCAATCCAGGGCAAGGGTTTCTGTACCCCTAGGCTCCGTCCTACTACCAAGGACTTCGCCCAAGCCCCGCCCTGATTGGCCGCCGCCCGGGCCAGTCACCGCCCAAACTCGCCTGGGTCCCGCCCCAGAGCCGTGCAGGGATTGGTCCTGACCGCCACGCCCAGGCTCTTATTGGTCCAGGTTGAGACCCGCCAGCTGGTCCACGTGGGCCCCGGAACAGCTGAGGGAAGGACTGACGGCCATGGCCGGGTTGCGCAGACTGGGGCTGGAGGAGGCCCTGGCGCTGGGGCCTAACTGGCGGCACGCGTGCCACGCGCTGCTCTACGCGCCGGACCCCGGGCTGCTCTTCCGCCGCATCCCGCTGCGTTACGCAGTCCTGGTGAGGAGGGGGCGCGTCCGGCCACCCCCGCCCCGCCACCTCCGCCCGGGGGCCGGCCTCCGGCGCCCCAGGTAATCCCCGCTTCCCTTTCCCGCAGATGCAGATGCGCTTTGACGGGCGTTTGGGCTTCCCCGGCGGCTTCGTGGAGCTGCAGGACGGCAGCCTGGAGGACGGGCTGAATCGCGAGCTGAGCGAGGAGCTGGGGGAGGCGGCGGGCGCGTTCCGCGTGGAGCGCGCCGACTACCGCAGCTCGCACGCGGCGTCGGGCCCGCACGTCGTGGCTCACTTCTATGCGAAGCGCCTGACGCTGGAGCAGCTGACCGCGGTGGAGAAGGGCGCGCCGCACGCCAAGGACCACGGGCTGGAGGTGGGGCCAGCCCGGAAGCCTCCACCCCCACAACCGCTCCCAGCCCGAAAGCCTGTCCTTGTTCCTGTGTCGTTGAGGTCTTGGTCATCCTTCATCTGGACGACCGACTACAGCCCAGCCAGTCTCCCAGCGAAGTTCCCTCCCCTCTCCTCCTTTCCTGGCCTCTGCAGCTGACTTGCTAGAACACACCCAACCAAGCCTCTCCTCCGCTCCGCATTTATACATTGCACCCTGAGGCCCCTGTTTTTCTTGAATGGAAGACGTGGCCTTATACTTGGTGGGGAAACCTAGCACTTAGGCTTCAGGAGTCGATGGACCAATGGTGTGTGGAGATGGTTCTCAAACTTTGGCAGTTACCAGAATCATCTGAGAGGCCAATTAAAACCGGGCTTACAGGCCCCACTCCCAGAACTGCTGCTTCAGCAGGGAGACGGAGGGAGTGTCCTGACAGTTTACACTTTTCGGAAGTTTCTAAATGGCCGGTCTGCGTACCACCGTGTGAGAACTGACAGGGCCAAGCAGGCGTCCTGAAGGCAGCAGCCACTGAAGGTTTAGTGATATGAGAAGGTGTAGTCTTTACGGAGCTGGATAGCATGACTCGGGTCACTTGTCTGTAGAGAGCTGGGCCCAGTAGTCTTTATAGAGATATGCGTCCCCCAGCCTGGTTCTGCTGGACTCAGAAGGGGTGAGGGGTCTGATCTAGAAAGACTGGCCGGGATGAGCAACTGCCTGGGTTCCCAGTGTCTTCTGTCTTTCTTCTTTGACAGGTGCTGGGCCTGGTGCGGGTGCCCCTGTATACCCTGCGGGATGGCGTAGGAGGCCTGCCGACCTTCCTGGAGAATACCTTTATTGGAGCTGCACGGGACCAGCTGCTGGAAGCTCTCAAGGACTTGGGACTGCTAGGATCTGGTTCTGTCTGTGGGCTTTAAGAGCTCAGCTATAAAATCAGGACCTTTGCATTCAGGAGGGAGGGAGGAGAAAGGGAATGTTTTCTTTTCCAGGCCTGAGCCTGATAGGTGGTAACATATTAAAAAGAAAGAAGTGTGTGCAATATATTCTGAGCAGAAGGCTCTCAGCAACTCATGGCATCAGGGATGAAAATCTGCAGCTCATCCCAGAGGCCCTGGCAAATTCCCAGACCCTGCCTCCTCCCAGTACATTTGCACACATATAGCCTGGCAGCCCCCAGAGATGTGAATGCAAAATCTGTGCCCACACACAAGCTGATGCCTCACCAGCCCCTAAAATTTAGTTTAACCAGGAAATGGCATATGTGGGGCCACTCTGTTGCTGGGGAAGAGCTTCTGAACCACACCCCTATATGGCTGTTCTCCATGGTCTCACCTGTGTTGCGGAGCACAGAGAAGCAGAGGATGACTTTTCCTTCTGAAACTGGTTGCATCCTTGCCTGGGAGTTGGCCAAAGCAGTGTGCCCCTGAAAGGTGGTAAAGGGTCCTAACCAGCCCTGACCGGCGTGGCTCGGTTAGTTGCGCATTGTCCCACAAAGCGAAAGGTTGGCGGTGTGATTCCCAGTCAGGTCACATGCCTGGGTGGCAGATTCAGTCCCTGGTCGGGGCACGTGCAGGAAGCAGCTGATCGATGTTTCTCACATTGGTGTTTCTCTTTCCCCCTCCCTTCCCTTCTCTCTAAAAATAAAAAAATAAAATCTTAAAAAGTGTCCTAACCAACACCAGCTCTACTGAAACCGAGCAGAACAGGCAAGGAAATGGCTTGCTCTCCTTGAACTGACCTAGAACTTGACACATTCAAGTACTGATGCACCTCCTTCAGTGTCTTCATCTTCTAGATTCCTTAGATTCTGGAGACATCCAAAGGGAGCTCCCCCAGCCCTGGTCTAGCCCTGCTCTGAAAAAAAAAAAAAAAAAAAAAAAAAGAGCCTCCCAATAAAGAAGGGCTTTTAGGTGGGCTGCTTGGCCCCTCAGCTCTTGGCAGCAATATGTATGAGGTACTGGGGCTCTAAGGATGAGGGCCATAGGACTTGCTCTTCTCAGGATTGGGAAGGTTTTGGTGACTAATGGTAAATATTTTAGGCTTTGTTAGGCCTCATGATCTTTGTAGCAACTACTCAATGCTGCCATGTCAGAAATAGTAATGGTCAGTACAGAAATAAATGGGTGTGTCTGTTTCAATAAAACTTTTTTTTTTAATTTTTATTTGCTGATTTTAAATAGGGAGTGTGGGGGAGAGAGAAACATTGATTTGTTCCACTCATGCATTCATCGGTTGCTTCTTGTATGTGCCCTGACCAAACCCACAACCTTGGTGTATAGGGACAACACTCTAACCACCTGGCCAGGGCTCAGTACAACTTTTTAAAAGGAGGTGGCCAGCCTGAGGGCCATAGGTTGCCAACCCCTCCTGTAGAGAGGAAGAAAAAATTAATCATTTTAATTATGATGTCTATCTACTTGTTTTATTTATGTCAATGTCAGAAATAAAGGATTGACACAGATCCTACTGTGACATTTTTTTACTTTTATTTGAGATGTTTTGGAAGGTCCTTCTCTGAGGAGTATTTAAACTGAAAGATGAGAAGTAGACATGTAGGAGCTTGGGAAGAATATTCTAAGGTTTTTCAGAGAGTAGCATGTGGTAAGGCCCTGAGGAAGAACCTTGGCAAATTATCCCTAAACAAGGGGTAGGGAAGTTAGGCTCCATTTCTCAGTTGTGAGGGCCGCGAATTTGTAGCCATCTTTACCAGAGCATGGTCTAGAAATAGCAAAAGGCTATTGAAATTGGACTATGGTGAGCAAGGGGAGCTGCAGCCAGAGACGCAGGAAGGAGGCCCTGGTCCGGGGCCTAGTGCTGCGTGGACTGTGGACTCGAAGGGAGAGAAAGTGAGATGGGAGGCTACCAAAGTAGCTCATGTGGGAGATGGTGATCTGGGTGGGCCAAGGTGGATGTAGGGATGGAGAGAAGGGGATGCATTTGAGAGGCACGGTAGTGGCATTGACAGGCCCTTGAATTGACTGGTTGCAGGTGCAGGGAGGGAAAAGGGGATTCAAGGATGACTTTCAGTTTGTGTCTTAAGTTATTCAGGTTGTGGAAGATGGGAAACTTGGCAGAGGACAAGCTTTTGGAAGGGATAGAATCAGGGTCATTTTGGGCTTATTGAAATACAAGTCAGTGAGTCATCTGCGTAAATATGATACAGCAATTTGTCAGACTGGATGAGGCCATCCAGGGTGAGGAAAGAGAACAGGGCTCAGGACAGTGCTGGAGGGAGCCAACCCTGAGAGTTTTGGGGGAGGAGAGCACATGTTAAAGGGGACCAGAAGTTGAGAGGAAGTTGCTTTAAGAAAATGGACTGTGCCTGGGCAGTGGCTCAGTTGGTTGAATGGTGATCCCGTAACAGAAATGTTGCAGGTTTGATTCGCAGTCAGGGCACTTGCCTAGGTTGCAGGTTCGGTCCCCTGTCCCTCCTGAGATTCCCTGTCCTGGTGGGCGTGATCCTGGTCATACTAATCATGCTTCTCTCTTGAATGATGTTTCTCTTTCTCTAAAAAGCAATGGAAAAAATGTGCTCAGGTGAGGATCAAAAAAGAAGAAGAAAGAGAAGGAGAAGGGGAAGGGGAAGGAGAAGAAATGGATTGTGCTGAGCGCTTGTGAGAGTTTCGGGAAAATGAGGACAGAACGGTCTACTGGAGTTAGCAAGACATTTCTGATAACTTTGACGGGAGCAATTTCAGGAAGGCAGGCGGGCGTTGGCTGAGTGAATGGAGAGAGGGGGAATAGGCAGGGTAAGGAGGTGGTCCCCCAGGGGTGTGGAGAAATGGCGTGATAACTGGAGAGAGCTGTGGGGTCAGGGGAGTGTTCATGGGGGGAGATAGAGCGTGTGATTATGGGTGGAACAATTAGTGTGGAGAGTGGAGAGACGGTATGGAGATGGGAGTGGGGTCGCTGAGGGGCTCTGCCCAGGTAAAAGCGGGGAGTAAAGGGAGCCCAAGTAAACGTGCAGTCCTGCAGCCTGACAGGGCTAGGAAGGGGGGGACAGGAACCTGTCGAGGATGAGGAGGGCTAAATGAATGGTAAGATAATGGAGTTCGAATCTCTTCTTGGTGAAATGAAGTGAGACCATCAGCCGGATGGGGCTGGAAGATGTTCTCAGAAGGTATGAAGTAGTCACTTATCTTGGTATTGACAAGCGAGTCCGTCAAAGAAACAGAGTGGCAGGCCAGGGCTGACCAATGCGGCGGTCAGTTTAGAGCAGGAATGGAGGCATTCACCTGTGTCCGGGGCGTGCGTGCCGCATATGTGTTCCGCACGTGTGTTCTTGCCCCCGTGGGTGATCAGCTGGGAGGAAGACGCCTGATGCAGACTTGCAGTTTCTCTGGAGGAGTCCAGGGAGGGGAGAGAGAAGCAGTTAGGGTTACAGGCGAAGTGATGATGGGCTGTGGGTACGAGGTTTAATGAAGACAGGAGGGGACTTCGGAGGTGGTAGCAAATTGACAGTCTTGACGAGACAGAACTCCAACATGGCGGGGGCGGGGAGTTGTATTTGAGCCAGAGAGGGACATATTTGGAATTGACAGGCAGAGCAGTCACAGGTAAAGTCAAGATCCATGTGGGTGATGAAGCAAGAAGCTGACAGATTTTGGGGACCGGGGTGTGCACTCAGAGCCATACATCCTATGCGAACAAGAGGAGTGACCAAAAGGCCAGTGACAGGGGCCAGGAGGGGAAAGTGGGCACAACAGGACAGAGGGCTCTGCAAGGAGAGGGGCTTTTGAAGAAGGGAGGGGTGCGCGGTGGTCTGGAAGGGCACAGAGAGCAGGGGGCTGCAGTGCCAGTCCCTGGCCTTTGAAGGCTGGGCAGGGAGAAGCGGCGGCGATCAGGAAGACAGATACCTAGAGAAGTTACTCCTAACCTAACCCTGAGCCTTTAGCAGACTCCAGATTAAACCCTCAGGGTAGGCCGGCTGGAAGGAGTGGACACTTTGGTGCCCCTGGGATACCTGCCGCCGTGATTGACCACGCTGCCTTCAGCTCCTGTCTGCAGGGGACGGAGGACCCCGAGGCCCGCAGGGATGGAGGAACTTGCCCATGACAGCAATGCCAACAGGTCCCTTACCCAGGGCCCCACCCAGGCAAATCTGCACCAGAGACTTTTTCCGATGTGACCCGGTCCCTCCTCACACACTATTCATAGAGTGTCTTTTTGGTACGAGTGTCTCAGCACTGTCTCTCTCAGTGCCTCCTGGCAGTTCAGTCATCGCTTATTTATAAGAAATTGTCTTATCTTTTAGGTCTCTGGTGGCTACTGAGGGAGTGAGTCCCTGACTGTCCTGTGGAATCCCACGTACCTTCTCTCCCAGTGACTAGGTCATGTCTCAGTGAGCATCTCCAAGTGTTCATTTGCGGCTTGAGTCCATTTCACTCCCCTCCTCAGGCCCCCAGCCCCGAGACAGGCAGGGGGAGGCAGAGCTCAGCCTCTGCTTTCTCCCCCGTTCCCTGCTGCCACTCAGCCGCGGGATGAGCAAACCCAGCATGGTGGCCCAGGCCGGCTTCTCTTGGCCTTGTTCAACCCAGTCACCAGAGGTGGAGGCTTCCGAGCAATCCTTGACCCCCCACTAGCTGTTGAGGTGACTTTCAGCCTGCACACGATCTGCTTTTCCTTATCTGAAATACTGGTTTGTGGTTCCCGTGGTGAGGGTGGACAGAGGCAGCACTTGGGGTGCAGCTTTGCAGAGATGCACCCAGCACTATTTCAGCGCCCGAAGCCCTCCATCCCCTTCGCCCTCCCCTCAACCCCCCTACTCCCTATTTGCTCCCGCTTGTTAGTGCGTTTTATTTTTCTTGGAACATGAGTAGCCTGGGCTGCCTCCCCAAATCCATATTTCTGCCTTTCTCAGCATAGTCAGCAAGATGTTCTCGCTTCTCAGTTCTGCGCGTTTTCCTTGCTATGTGGCTGCGGGTGCTGTGCTAACACTTTCAGGTCCCGTGCTGTTCTGAGCCAAAGTCTCCCTCTGCTACCAAGTTTCCAACGCAGCTGCTGCTTTTTGGCAGAGATATTTGAGGCAGGAGTGGCTGCCTCCTTCCTCAGTTACCCGGACCTTCAGAAACTGAAGGGAAATAGACCAAGGCAAAGGCAAGCGGGAAGGGATATTTCCTATGAGTTTCAGTTTATCGCACAGAAATTAGATTTTTTCCCCCCAAAACCCTCTACCTCACACGGACAAATGAATTTTTTTAAAAATAGACAACAAAAAATTTTATTTGTGATGAAATTTGTGAATGACATCAGAATTAGAGCCAAACTAGAAGCATTAAGTGAAACTATTAATGGATCAAGAGATTATCCACAGGGATTTTAAGAATTTCAGATTATACACAGCAAATATACACAGCAAAATCTATGGGAAATGCAAGGCGAAATCCACAGAATATTGGGGGACCACAAACACACTTCCTCAATCCTTGGCAGATAAAATATCAAGATCTAAATTTAACAACAGTAGTGACAACAATTAACACATTGGCAGTAATTACTGTGTGGCAAGTACTAGTCTAAGCCCTTTTCATGTATTAACATATTTGGTCAAAACAACCATATGAGATAGAAATACGCTTACTTCCATACTCCAAATATACTTAGGTACAAAGGTCAACAAAATAATATACTTTACCGAAAAGATACATGTTGACTATAACTTGAAGCAGAAAATATATCTTTAAGGACCCAGGAAACATTTACCAAATTAGTCATATATCGGGCCTTAGGGAGTCTCAGTAAATTCTCTCCAGGCTGTACCACTCTCTCCGAAATGATGCAGTACTATCACATTCTGTGACCACAATATGCATTAAAATTAGAAATAAATGGCAGGGATAGCCACTCTGAAATTTTCCTCTGCCACCAGGTGTCTCAAAGTGTTTGTTATAAAAAAGGGTTTGGGGCCCGAGAACCCTGTCGTAGGCCCGCCCCGCCTCCGCACGCAGCCCAGGTAGGTACTCTTGGCGGGGATCCCAGCAGCAGTCGGGCAGGATTACAATCAGCCCCCGGCAGCGGGCTCTGCTGTGCGGCGGCTTGGAAGCTGCCACCCTGCTACCTGAGGTGAGCCTGACAGGGCTGAGGAGGCCAGGAAGAGCCAAATCTTAGAAATCTGGAGCCCGACCTGGGGTGGTGCCGTGGAAAGGGCAGAGGGGCATTTCTGGATTTTGGGCTTTTTTTCTGGTAACTTCTAAGGCAGTGGTAATGTACTGAGAGACATTAGTTCTGACTTACCATTCCCCACCCCCTCCTTTTTTCTGAGACGCACATTTAAAAAAAACCTCAATGTCAGTTGGGTCTTACCATCAACGCCAGGTAGGGGTGTGTGGCTGCACAAGGCCTGAAATCGGGGTGAATGTTGGCAGCTTGCAGGGAAGCTCCCGGCAAGCTCTGAAGAAAGGTCACAACGCCATGGTGCTTGACAGCACAAAAGTCAA